GGCCGCCGCAGCGCTCGCGCCCCGCGAGCCGCGCGCGCGCCGCGCTCGCCGAGCTCGCCGCCGCCGCGGCACCCGCGGCCGCCGCCGCGCTGCGGCTCGCGAAAACGTCGTCCATCCTGTTCGTGGGCGCAGCGGCCGACCTGCTGCGGTACCCGGTGCTGACTGCAGGCCTGCGGGCGCGCGGGGGCGTGCGGGCGCTCAAGGTGGTGATCTCAGATCTGGGCGAGTCGCTGGCGATGGCGGTTCAGGGCGGGTGCACCTGCATCTGCTCGCTGGCGGGCGCCGCGTCATTGACCATCATGGCGCTCCGGTTGGAAGAAGCGCAGCACGGGGGCGGCGGGCACCCGACGCCGTCGCCACAAGGCAAGCAGGCGTCGGCGGTGCTGAGCGCAGCCGCGTTCGGGCTCAAACAGGTGCGGAAAATCCCGCCGGGGGCCATTAGGGCACGCACTACGGGCGCTGCTTGAAAAGCACAGCCGAAGGGGCCTTGAAAGGCGACGCGCCTGCCTGCCTTGCGCCCATCGCGTGTTCCCCTGTGTCGTATTGGCCAGACCACCCGTGCAACTGAGACAGGTGAAACCCTAGACTTCCCTCACCCCTTCCCGTTCCCTCTGGCGCCGCAAACAGCACCCCTACGACGACCCAGACGCGCGGGCCCGCATCCTCCGGCGCGTCGGCCCCTGGATCGCCGCCGCCGGCGGCGGCGAGGGCCTGGCCACTCGGCTCGCGGCCGAGCGGAGGCTGCTGCGGGCGCTGGCAGACGCGGCGCTCGCGCCGTCAGCGGAGGGGTCGGCCGAGGACAAGCTTGCCGACGTCGGCGGGCCCGGCGGGGGGCCAGGCCCCGGCGCGCCGCGCGGCGGAGCGGTGCGGCGCGGCGCGGCGGCTCTTGCTGCTGACGGCGGCGGCGGACGAGGAGGTCGCAGGGGAAGCGAGGGAGGCGGCCGAGGCGCTGTTTGGGGCCGATGTGGTGGCGCGGTTCGGCTTTGCTGCCGCCGTTGTGGCCGTGGCGGGGCCCCTGCCACAACCTCGGCAGGCAGCTGAGCAGGCGGCAGGTCAGCAAGACGCGGCAACGCCGCTCCCAATCTGGACCAACAGTGCAGGCAGCGGCGGCTATGGCCACAGCAACGGCGCCAGCGCGAGCGGCGGCGGGAGGGGCGGGGGCGCTACAGGGCAGGGCGGCGGCTGCGGGCACTGCGGCAGGACAAAGGCGGAGGGCTCCAAGCTGCGCATGTGCCAGGGCTGCGGTACGACGCAGTACTGCGACACCTCTTGGCAACGGGCCGCATGGGCAGGCCACAAGGCCGCATGCCGGGCAGCGCCGACATTGTCGTCGGGTGTCAAAAGTGGGAGGTAGCTGCTGGCAGCTGCGGGTGTAGGAGGCGCTGTGCTTCCACGCCAGAACCTGTAAAGCAAGGTGCTGCTGCATGACGGTCCAAACCTGGAGTGCGACGTTCCACTTGAGCAAGCGAAATCAATCATGGACGTTGTGTGTCACCTTGCTCTGGGCGAGTGACCAAGCGGATGAGTTTGTGTCACCTGCAAGCTGACTCCGCGCCAGTCCGGTGCTGCAAATGAAAGGATACCTCAACCATCTGGGAGTCTTATCTACACGAGTCGAATGTTGTGGGCAGGAGAAGCAGACAGCCCAAACAGGACCACTCTCCTCATCTGCGGTCATCTGTTGTGGCCGGGCAGCTGCCCCTCAGGGGGCCCGCGGCATCGACCACAGTGTGCCCTCTTGTAGTGCCAGCAGCTCCTCGTTCGAAACCTGTGGTCGGCAAGCAGGCTGTTACTTGTTGAATCGAATGTATTGCCTGTTTCGAAGGCCAAGGGCGTGCTCCGCGAGCGACGTGTGACCCTTGCTGCCAAGCCAGATAACCCACACTATATGTTACCTTGTACAAGCTTACGATTACACAATCTGATCAGTCTCGGGCTGCCACGGAGGCTTACTGCAGTGTGGTGCAGGTGTGAGCGTCGCTGTGCGACCTGCTGACCAGCCGCGCGTGAGCGCACCATGCGCCCGGCCGCCGCAGCCGCAACCATGCTGAAGCGCATCCGGAGCCGATGGCACTGCCATCCAATGCTGCGCCGAGGCGCGGTGGGCGTCATCGGCGCGGCGTTTTTGCTGGTGGTGGCGCGCTTGGCCCTGGATGTGGAGACGCTGACGTGGCGGTGCGTCGCAGGCCGACGCGTAGTGTTGATGACTGTCAGCGCCTGATGCAGCCGCAACAGCTGACGAGGCTCTTGGATCCCGTCGGCATGCTCACCCCTCCCTCGGCCACGTCCAAGGCTCGGTGCATTTTGGCGCTCCTGCCAGCAACAGACCGATCACAGGCCCCCGGACTGCCCTCGCCCGCGCCCTCAACGCGCCGCGTCCCCGCCCTCGCCCAGGGGCGCCATCCGGCTCGACCACCGCCACGGCTGCTGCGGCGTCGAGGCGCAGTGGCGCAGGGTAGAGGCTCAGAAGGCGTCGATGCCAAAGGCACGGGAGTTTGACGGCCTGACCGCACGGCAGCTGAGGGGGCGGCTGCCGATCTGGGTGATCTCGCTGGCGAGCGCCACAGACCGGCGCGCGAACGTCATCCGCAACATGCAGGCAGAAGGTGCGTCGCCGCCGCGTGGTTCGCCTGGTGTCGCCAGCCGCTGCAAGCGTGCTGCTTCCCGCTGCTTGCTGACGGGGCCAGCGCTGAGCTTCTGGGGCCACTCGCGGCCGCCTGTGCCTCTGTTTGCGCCATCATTTCTTGCCGCCTTCTGTTGAGGGCAACGAGGTTGGCCCATACCACAGCCGTGCGCGGCAACTGCCCCCAGGCGCCGGCAGCCACGCAGCAGCCGGCCTCAGCAACCCAGGTGGCTGGCAGCCAACCGGCCTCCAAAAGCAGTTGCTCACCAACGCCATGGCGTAATCTGGCGGACGAGATGACACGATTATTCTTGCTGTTTGCCGCTCTCCTGTATCAACAACAATCAGGCGTCGATGTTGAGCTAGTAGACGCTTTGGACGGCCGCAACGCGTCCACACCCGATGACGACGTACAAGAGTGAGGCCTGGCACACATTGCCTGGGCTGAGGCCCTACGACGCCGGCGTCGGAGCCCGCAAGGGTAGCCGGATGCTGAGGGGCCACGTAGGCGGCGGATTGCGCTCAAAGGCTGCTTGCAACGTGGTGGCCCGCATTGCAGCGTGCGACCACGGGCGATGCTGCCCTGTGTGCTGGGCATCTCCCCCTCACCCCCTCACCCGACTCCCGCTGCCGGCCCTGACTTGCAGGTACATTGCCGGGGTGCGGCTGTGGATGTGGCGCCGAGGGCAGCCTCATTTCAGGGCCAAGGTGGGTAGGAAAGTGCAGCCCAGCAGCTTGCACAGCTGGGTGGCTTGCGCTGCTCCCTATCCGCCAGCCTTGTGCGGGCGACTGCGCCTCAGCTGATGGAGACGCCACTGGTTGCACGACCTTCGTTCAGCAACCCTGTTGCAGGACATCAATACTCGTAATGAATGCTTTTATTCATGAATATGTGAAAATTCATGAAAATGTGAAAAACAATTGATACAAGGCAAACAAACCCCTTGCATTGTGCTTGACTTCAAACCCAAGGTCGCTGTTGACGTGTCGCACTACCGCCTGCTGGAGCGCGTCGTCGCGCTGGGCCGCCCCGCAGTCATCCTTGAGGATGACGCCCACATACGGCCGTCGATTAGGGACGTGAGGAGCCCATCCAATGTCTCCGGCGGCACAAGCGGCGCGGCGGCGCCCGGCGGCGCGGCGCCTGCAGCGAGCGGCAGCGGCCCGGCGGGCTCGCCGCCCGCGGCTGCAGCAGGCGCGGCC